AATATCATCAAGGACTAGAAGCTCCACATCGTACCACTTTCAACATTCGAGCTGCTTTCGGAGCAAATCCTCCAAGTTTATTCTTGGCCTGTCCTTTAGCAATAATAGATCTGAAAAACTTGTTCGTCGCACCTGCACGAAGATATCATGGATGTGTTACGCAGGCCTTACGACCAACCGATACTCATTGTGCTTATCAACGAAAATCTGCCTAATTTCATCGGTCATGCCATTGTCAGATGTGGGGCAAAACGCGGCTGAAAAAAGCTTCTAACAACCAGAATCTCAATTTGAGGGTTTCAAAACTTTGAGGAGTGCGCACCTTCCAGGCAAGATGGCGTCAGAAGCACCTGAATGGAGTAATTGGAGAAAGCTATACATGTCACCAAAGATGAGAACTCACCGAAATAGCAATCAAAGTAGGTATTTGCATACCTCACGACGAATGTGAATGTCCACAGGCACCCAAATGGTGCTTTTATAGCTATTTTTGAACCACCTTTCATGGATATCATAGTCACTGGCAGCTGTTATAATTTAACTTCACAGTTCTCCAAAATTCATTACTAGAACAAAGGAGAGAAATCGATGATGTGCGATTTCAGGGCGATTTTTTTTCATCTACTGAAAATGTGTTCTACTTCCCGAGAGTATCTCCAATTTGTCAGAAGAGCGTTGAATAACCCTGAAGAAGCGTCTGCATCTTTCGTAAGGGATAAAGATTAGGGTGCATACAATTTCTCCTTTTCATCTGGTTGTACATTTCGAACAGCTAGTTATAAATCACAACCACAAACAACCCTCCTTGTCGTCAAATAGCTTGATAATTTTTTCGGGTCAACAACCACTTTACCACTAGAGTCTTTAAAACAATAATTTCGAAGAGAAATTCCTTGAGAAAATGCTCGACATACTTGCACTGAATTATTTCTTCAGCGATATGGGATTAAAAGGCCAAACCATCACAACGGCTCCTGCCTCGTGCAAAGAGCGCATTCTTCACGATAGTATACCTTCTTTTACTTCGGGAATGTCCCTATCCAGTTGATCAAAATGCAACAAATTAAGTGGCTTCAGTCAAGTGTTAATTGACAAGGAAAAATTATCAAGCTATTTGACGACAAGGAGGGTTTTTTGTGGTAGTGATTTATAACTAGCTGTTCGAAATGTACCACCAGATGAAAAAGAAGAAATTGTATGCGCATTCATCTTCATCCCTCACGAAAGATGTAGACTCTTGCTCAGGGTTATTCAACGCTCTTCTAACAACTTGGAGATACTCTCGGAAAGTAGAACACATTTGAAAAAAATCGCCTTGAAATCGCACATCATCGATTTCTCTCCTTTGTTCTAGTAATGAATTTTGGAGAACTGTGAAGTTAAATTATAACAGCTGCCAGTGACTATGATATCCATGAAAGGTGGTTCAAAAATAGCTATAAAAGCACCATTTGGGTGCCTGTGGACATTCACATTCGTCGTGAGGTATGCAAATACCTACTTTGATTGCTATTTCGGTGAGTTCTCATCTTTGGTGACATGTATAGCTTTCTCCAATTACTCCATTCAGGTGCTTCTGACGCCATCTTGCCTGGAAGGTGCGCACTCCTCAAAGTTTTGAAACCCTCAAATTGAGATTCTGGTTGTTAGAAGCTTTTTTCAGCCGCGTTCTGCCCCACATCTGACAATGGCATGACCGATGAAATTAGGCAGATTTTCGTTGATAAGCACAATGAGTATCGGTTGGTCGTAAGCCTGCGTAATGCATCCATGATATATTCGTGCAGGTG